CCCAATTTATCTGTAAAATGGGTGCTTGGACTTACAAAATGGGTTATTGCTCAAAAACTATTAAACATAGAAGCTTCAGATTTCTTTGGTTGTTTAGCTCTGATGAGGGGCTATCCATCAGGTCAACCAATGCACCCCCACCCCCCCAAAAAAGACCCCCATCCAAACCACTACAATTCTGGGATGCACCTGGTAGCATGACATTTATTAGGAATAAAGACTTCTGAGTTACGGTGCATTTCTGCGTGCGGGGGTCATTATGTTAACGCTATCTAGTTTTGTTTAGACATCACACGCTGTTAAATATGAACAGCAACATATAACTAAGTTTTTTTCTACTATCCCACCCATTTGTAGCATAATGTCTGTCTTTCTCTCTTATATTACTAAGAAAAGGTTAATTCCAGAAAAAAAGAAGTAATCTAAGATAAATGCAGATATTTTTCAATCCAGACTGTATTAAAGTTAAACAGAGTCAACTTTACTTGTCACTACAGACAGTGCCAACAGTTCAGGGGCATTTAGTGATTTAGTTCCTGCAAAAAGACACATTAAATATTAAAAACTGAATGTTGTTGAATCACCACCAACTCTTCACTATAGCTGTGAGGAACAAACTGAAACAGATTGTTGTACTTCATGGTCATATCTGATGTGTTTTATGCAGAGAAAACAGGAGAGTGGTTCCAAATCAGATTCAACTTGTCTGTAAAGCCTCTCCTTGATGAGCATATCTCCTTCAGTGTGATGAGAATGTAGCTGTTATTAAAGACCTCCCTCTGCTCATAAAAAGACATTTAATATCACTGCACACATGGCTGGGAAAAAAAACACTTGAAGAGGTTTGTGTGTGTTTTACAGCCCCCTCCATTACCGCCGCTATCGTTTATCATTTTCAACAAAACAATGGGTGCATGAGATTGGGAGTGCGTGTTCAGCCTTTGTGAAACCATCAATAACGCCCCTGGCTTTGCTCTTCAGCAGAGGAGCTGCAGGTTGAATATCAACTAGTCATCAAGCCCTCCAAACGGTGCTTTTATCTGATGGAGAGAGGCTCATTAGCATACTAATTAGATTAATTGAGTAAACCACATCTCACGTAAACGATATCTGGGAGAATAAATGCTGCTGAATGTGGCAGGGTGGAAACTGAGACGGGAGCGGAGACGAGGTAAAACTTCTGTCCTTAATATTCTGCTGAACTCTCACCTGTTTGCATCCTAAAGACCTCTGCCTGCTCCATCGGAACCTGCAAAATCTGTTCTCAATGATGCAGCTGTGCGATGAAAATCTTGTCATTTTGTTCTTTGTGTTGCCCGTCCCCCTCTTGTCACAACCCCCAGGTAAACTTTTCACCCCCATCGGCATACTAAAGCATTGTGTGATTGGTCAGAAGTTTGTGGACGGGTTTGTTTCTGCTGAAAAGCGCTCGGACAACAATGGCAGCATTTTGCTTCAACTACAGTGAGTTCCTGGTTACGTTCTTAGAGCACATGTGAAGCGTGAAAAAAATGTGAATAATGGATCTGGTCCAGAAAAGGTGTACAGCACATTTGGGTGGCATCTTAATGTGTTAAGAACCAAATAAAAAAAACATGAGAGCTGAACAGTTAGCAGCTACACAACACGCGGTACTGTTAGAAGGCGGAAATGGTGCGCTCCGGGTGGAACCTGAGCCCAGGACATGCATCATGTACTGTACTGTACTGAACTGTACTGTACTGTACTGTAATGTACTGTACTGTACTGTACTGAACTGTACTGTACTGTACTGTAATGTACTGTACTGTACTGTCTTTTCTTTATAAGGAACTGAATTTATTGTACATTAATGTTAGTTACAAAATTAGTAAATTATACAATTTTTATTAGTTTAGCTTGAAAACTTATGAAAACTGTGCGAGTAAAAATATAGACATTCCTTACTGTACTGTATTTCCAGTTTCTGCGATATCACTGTGATTACTGCAAAAAAGCTAGTAATTAAGTTCCATGAAAAATTCCATAAAAGACGCAGTCAGCAAACTTTGCAGGGCTTCACTGTGTTCCATTTCCAGAAACCGGCTGTTGTGCATCCAAACATGGACAGTTTTGAGGGGCAGGTGTCAGAAAATACGATCATCTATGCCAGGGGTTCTTAAACTTTTTGACCTCGGGGCCCAATTTATTGAACATAAAGTGGGACGAGGCCCAGTCAGACTTTACCAATGTACGGATCAAAATAGTAATTATTCTAAATCTTGGTTAAAATTTTTATTGTATTTACATCATAACTAAATTAAATACACTTACATTTTAAAAGTAAAACTCCTGTCAAATAATCACAAGACATGATTATGACAAACAATTTTTTATAATGTAGCCTGCCCATAACAATTATTTGAACAAATGCAACGGTCAGGCAAGTTTAAAGTTTCTTTAAAATAAATTAAAAATATAGAAAAAATACAAAATGTAATTTGATAAAGTGAAAATTAAAATATAGTTGTATCTGCAAATGCATTTGATAATGTTTTGAACTTTTAAAATGCTGCATGATAGAACCAAAAGCTGTACTTCATATTAGTGACAAACTTTGGCCTTTTTTGATTAGTTACCTTCACTTTTGCTTCTACTTTTCATTTAAAATACGTTTCCATTCTCTGCAGGTTTCTTAGGTTCTTTTTCTACATATTAAAAAGTTGTTAAACATCTGAGTGTCGCAATACCGCAACTAGTGGTGAGAAAGTGTATTGCACCTCATTTAAAATCAATGCGGTCCCTCGGCGGCCCAAAGTTAAAAACTGTTCTTTTGAGGCCCCCAAGGTGGCGCTCACGGCCCAGAATTGGGCCGCAGCCCATGGGTTAAGAATCTCTGATCTATGAGACTTCCAGACACTAAAGGTAGTCAAATGGCGAAAAACTACAGGATGGAGAGAGTTCAAACACTGTGTACAGATGAATATGCCTGCTGAAAAGTGAAGTGCTCTATCATTAGTAAAAAAAAAAACCAGTGTTGTGACGTGAACAGCAGTGGAAGATGTTTCCCAGCGCTAAGAAGGGTCTTGTGGACCTTCAAAAGGTGAGTACAAAAACAAATGTCGAGCAACGAATGTGATCGCGTGTCGACTGTTTGGCTTCAGATGGATCCTGATCCCTTAACACGGCTGAACCAGACACATGTGTAAAAATAAAATTCTTTATGTAACTGTAAATAGTCATTTAATTCAATAAGATAACTTAAGTCTAAAGATTTGTTTTTAAAGACAAGAATTGCTGATTTTCCACTCAGCAATACGCTGTACAAGTATATGTTTTTTTTTCTTCTCTGGCCATGTTTTTGCCTCAAAATCCTTAAATATGTAATTAAAGGGATCCCTGATTACGGTAGTTGTAAAATTAGACTTTATTTGATAAACATTTATTTTAACTGTAAAATAAAGACTGTAAAAATACTGTAGGCTGTTTAGTTTTGTAAATTATTAAAATATATATTTTAACATGGACAGAGCCATTTTATTTACACACAAAGCATTCTGGGTAAATGATGACGTGGATAGGTCATCGGTGCGAGGCTGCTAGCGAGCTACATCCACCCTGAAGGTTAATCTTGGACAATATCTGATGATCGACTCTTTTAAATGAAACCAGAGAGAGTTGACAGAGAGGAGAAGGTAGAAATGACTCAGCCTGGAACTGAAAATATAGATGGAGGACAACAGAGCTGCTTCACGGAAGAAGAACCTCAGCTTAGCCTGTTAGCCTTTACGATAGCACCGATGCTATATTGCCTTATATGTATTAGCTCGGTGCTAGCGCGACAAACTAACAAGCTAAACTGAGGTCCTCCATCCATATTTTCAGTTGCAGGCTGAGTCATTTTTGCGTTCCCCTCTCTGTCATGTGGATGGAGCGTCGGGGCTAATGCTAAAGCTAACAGGCTAAGCTGAGGTTCTTCTTCCATGAAGCAGCTCTGTTGTCCTCCATCCATATTTTCAGTTCCAGGCTGAATCATTTCTACCTTCTCCTCTCTGTCAACGCTCTCTGGTTTCATTTAAAAGAGTCGATCATCAGATATTGTCCAAGATTAACCTTCAGGGTGGATATAGCTCGCTCGCACCGAGGACCTATCCATGTAATCATTTACCCAGAATGCTTTGCATGTAAATAAAATGGCCCTGTCCGTGTAATGTATTTTTAAACTTTCAGTTTAAAAATGATGAAAAATAAACAGCCTACAGTATTTTTACAGTCTTTATTTTACAGTTAAAATATATGTTTATCAAATAAAGTCTAATGTTACAACTAATCACGGTAATAAAGACATTTGGCTGCAGCTACAGATGAGTTTAAATTATTCTCATGCTCTATTACCTATATGACTGAGAAGGATAACAAACAGTGAACAAAAGTTGAACTTATTAATCCGACTGGTTTTAGATCAGAATTTTAACGGCGCAACGAGTAGTGAGGAGAAGCAGGGGATAAAAGCCCGCTAAAGAGAAAGGAAGGAGTTTCTGAAGTACAGCGGAGGCAGAAAACGAACAGAAGGAGATGTGTTGAACTGGAGGTGCAGCTTCAGCAACAGTAATCCCCCTTTCTTTAGCAAGCGCACGGTTGCTAGGCAACCCAAAATATGAATAGGCAGGGGAGCATCCTGCGAACGAGCCCATCATTTATGGATGAGTTACAGCACGAATCACACAGAAACGCCTGCTTTGGCTGAGCTGCAGTAATGCCGCTGTGACCATCTGACATCTCAACAACCGGCCAGATAAACTGGCTGCATACCTGCAATGTTAGACGCTGTGTGTGTGTGTGTGTGTGTGTGTGTGTGTGTGTGTGTGTGTGTGTGTGTGTGTGTGTGTGTGTGTGTGTGTAACACAAACAGCAGATACAGCAACAAGCCAAATCTCACCACATTCATCCTGGATGCAGTACAGGGATTACTGAGCATATCGCCTTCTGTGTGTCTGTGTTTCAATCTTACAACCCAGACAACAACCATCTCATCAATCACACACCGCTTACAGTCTAATCTCATTTCTCTCAAAGCTTCTTTTCTTTTCTTTTTGCTTCCGTCTCGCCCAAACAGGCTTACAACATCCCTTCAGGTTTTCACCTCAAGAGCAGGAAGAAGAAAAAAAATCACCTCCTCTTTCCCTTCGCTTTGCTTCAAACTTCAAAGCAGTGTCAGGACAGAGGGAGAGGCACGGCGAGCGTTTTGAAAGTGGTGCCGGTGAGAGACTGATGGGGCAGGTTCTGTTTCTCCCAGCTGCGTTTAAATCTCATGAAGTTTAACAGACGGAGGCTGCAGCAAAATGAACGGGACACTTCAGGTGTGTGTGTGTGTTACCTCGGATAGAGCCCGACGCCAACCTCCTGCAGCTCCCCGTCACTGATGGTGAAACAATTACACGTCACCTTAAGGAAAAGAAAAGATAAAGGTCGAGACCAAAGAGAAAGAGTGATTATCTGTTACTTTGCTTCAGGGAGTCAGCAATGGCTTTTATGTGTTGTTGAAAACTTTCTCCAGGCACGCACTCATATTGTTAAATGTTTCTGACTTTTTATCTTGAAGCATTGAGAAGAATAATCTTTGAAGAGGAAATAAAGCTGTTTTAAATGACAAACTTTCTTAAATTAGATAGCATACTGTGTTAGGTAGTCCGTATTGTGTCATTACTGCATGTCAGAGTTATTATAGTTCATTAAGAAAAAAAGTTTCTAGTGCGCACATATGGGGTGCCGTTTATAAAGTTACACAGTCAAAAATTACCAACAATATTTAGATTGCAACTTAAATATTTAGCTAGCTACCTAAATATTTAAGTTGCAACCTAAATATTTAGGTATCTGGCTAAATATTTAAGTTAAATATTTAGGTGGCTAGCTAAATATTTAAGTTAAATATTTAGGTGGCTAGCTAAATATTTAAGTTAAATATTTAGGTGGCTAGCTAAATATTTAAGTTGCAACCTAAATGTTTAGGTATCTAGCTAAATATTTAAGTTGCAAGTTAGGTGGCTAGCTAAATATTTAA